CACAATAGACGCACATAAAGTACATAGATGACCTAAAATCAGTACTCACTGGTTCCCAAGGGCAAATGACTTGACAGTTTAAAAATCCTAAAATGTTTGTTTGGATGTTTTAGTTTTAGGGGAAAGAAAATAACATCAGCTTATTAAAAAGCATTAGATGTTAGCCCAAAATCACCAAGATGATGTGTGTGTTTATACACACTATTACCTCCTGCCTTTAGTGCTAGTAGAGATGTTGAGTGGTGAGGCAGTAAATTGTTTGATTAGTTGATTCACCAAGGGAATCCTGGAACATATTTGCTGCCATGCGCACACACGCACATGCACGCACACCAACACACCTACACACACACACATTCCCAATCCCATTGTCTGTTTCTTTCATTGTGCATCCCCAGGCCGTTATATCTAAATTTCATTGTTTATTTTACCTTATGCTCTGTTTATCTACTTTCCCCCCTGCTGACTGCTTTGTTTCCTTCATTTTTTTGTTTTCTAAGGTGAAAAACAAGAAGGAAATCATTGAAATGCTTGCGTTTATGGCTCTGGCTTATATTATGAAACACTTGGTTTAGATTAGAACATTTGGCTTAATTAGTTTTGCTTGTTGCGTTATTGCTCCTTGAAGAAATCTGATGCAGTCAGTATGTTCTCATGTCTACAGCTTGTTTTGTGATAGTTTGATGCAGTTTTGAACACACCCAGCATGTTCTTCAGTGCCCCCAGCGGCTCAGCTCACTTCTCTTATAGAAAAGTAATCATGTGTTTGTGCCGAAGGCTAAACGCCTGAGAAATGCGCATGCTTTTTGTGATTGACGACTGTCAGTGGGAGTGAGAGGGGAGAAGCTGATGTGAGAGGATGGTGGAGAATGCAAAGTCTTGTATATGTACACTTGGTAGGAGATGGGGCATAAGTTATAACAACAAGCATGAAAAAAATGCGAATGATAGGAAGGATGATAGGAACAAAAAGAGAGAGTGTGCTCTTTGAGCCTGGATCAGTTGTGAAGGCTGATCAGTCTTCTAAATGTTATCTGCAGCTCAGACATGGACCTGAACCCGTTTTGAAGAGTGAATAATGCCTGTCCTCTAGTGCAGAGTAGACGAGCAAAGACAGAAGCAGATTCTTGCTGAACAGCCATGGAGGCTCTGCTAAAACTGAGAACTGTTTGTGCAGCATCCATGATTCATCCAACAGTATGTTTCTGGAGAACAGTCAGCTGTGCCCAAGGCCAGTCCATCTTTTTCACTCAGATCACTTCTCTCCATCCTCCAGTTTAGCTGCTTAGCCATTTTAATGCATCCTGTTAATTAAGCATAACATTTTGATTAGGATTTCCATACCATCTGTCTATGTGTCTGCCTCCTGTCTGTCTGTGTGTCTGTCTGTGTGTCTGTCCTGTCCTGTATACCTGTTTATCTATTTGTCTGTTCTGTATACATGCCTGTCTATATATCTGTCTTTCTGTCTTTTGTATCTGTCTATCTGTCCGGCCTATATGTCTGTCTGTCTATCTATCTGTATGTCCTTTGATCTGTCTGTCGTTTAATCTGTCTGTCAGTCCTGTATATCTGTCTGTCTGTCTGTCTGGTCTGTCTGTCCTGTATGTTTTTTGTCTATCTTCTATATTTGTCTGTCCTATATATCTTCTGTCTGTCAGTCCTGTATATCTTTTGTCTGTCTGTCTGTCTGTCTGTCTTCTGTCTGTTTGTCCTTTATATCTTTTGTCTGTCTGTCTGTCTGTCTTTCTGTCTGTCAGTCTGTCTGTCTGTCCTGACTGTCTGTCCTGTATATCTTCTGTTTGTCTGTCTTTCTGTCTGTCTGTCTGTATGTCTGTCTGTCTGTCATCTGTCTGTCTGTCTGTCTGTCTGTCTGTCTTCTGTCTGTTTGTCCTGTATATCTTTTGTCTGTCTGTCTGTCTGTCTTTCTGTCTGTCAGTCTGTCTGTCTGTCCTGACTGTCTGTCCTGTATATCTTCTGTTTGTCTGTCTTTCTGTCTGTCTGTCTGTATGTCTGTCTGTCTGTCTGTCTGTCTGTCTGTCCAGTATATATTTTGTCTGTCTGTCTTTCTGTCTGTCAGTCTGTCTGTCTGTCTGTCCTGACTGTCTGTCCTGTATATCTTCTGTCTGTCTGTCTGTCTGTATGTATGTCTGTCTGTCTGTATGTCTGTCTGTCTGTCTGTCTGTCTGTCTGTCTTCTGTCTGTCTTCTGTCTGTGTGTCCTGTATATCTTTTGTCTGTCTGTCTTTCTGTCTGTCAGTCTGTCTGTCTGTCTGTCCTGACTGTCTGTCCTGTATATCTTCTGTCTGTCTGTCTGTCTGTCTGTCTGTCTGTCTGTCTTCTGTCTGTCTGTGCTGTATATATTTTGTCTGTCTGTCTTTCTGTCTGTCAGTCTGTCAGTCTGTCTGTCCTGACTGTCTGTCCTGTATATCTTCTGTCTGTCTGTCTGTCTGTCTGTCTGCTTGTCCTGTATATCTGTCCTATCTGAATGTCTGTCTGTCCTTTTTTAGCTATCTGTCTGTCCTGACAGTCTGTCCTGTATATCCATCCATCCGTCTGTCTGTCTGTCTGTCTGTCTGTCTGTCTGTCTGTCTGTCTGTCTGTCTGTCTGTCTTCTGTATGTCTGTCCTGTATATCTTCTGTCTGTCTGTCCAGACTGTCTGTCCTATATATCTTCTTTCTGTCTGTCCTGTATATCTATCTATCTATCTATCTATCTATCTATCTATCTATCTATCTATCTATCTATCTATCTATCTATCTATCTGTCTGTCTGTCTGTCTGTCTGTCTGTCTGTCTGTCTGTCTGTCTGTCTGTCTGTCCTGTTTATCGTCTGTCTGTCCTGACTGTCCTGTATATTGTCTGTCTGTCTGACTCTCCTGTTTGTCTCTCCGGACTGTCTGTCCTGACTGTCTCTCCTGTATATCTTCTTTCTTTCTGTCTGTCCTATAAATCTTCTGTCTGTCTGTCTTTCTGTCTGTCTGTTTGTCTCTCTGTCTCTCTTGACTGTCTGTCCTGAATATCTTCTGTCTGCCCTGTATATGTGCCTGTTTGTCCTGTATTTCTGTCTGTCTGTCCTATATATATGCTTATCTGTACTTTGTCTATCTGTACTGTATATCTGTCTCAGTGTCTGTGTGGACAGCAGTTCTCCACATGGTCTGCTGCTTTGTGAATATGCTATTTCTCATATTGAGGGTACAGTTTATGCCATCTTGCTCTGAGGGTCTCGACCTTCATAGCTCACAGGTTTCATTATAAAAAAAGTCATTTTTGCCTTTTATAGTTCATACAAAACTGCTTATTGAGGTAACCATAGATAAACGTCAGACTGGCAGTGTAAAAGAGATATGATGCACAAGATTTATCACTGTCATAAGTTTTTGTCATTTGGACACAATTGTCATCAGTTAAATCAATGTTAATTATTTTATAATTATTATAGTGATAGTTAATTAAGAGTCAAGAGGTAAGTTTATTCTTAATTCCCTTGATAAATTTGTAGTAGAAGTCACAAAAAATCTGAAAAAAAAAACTGTCTGGTTGCAACATTTTCATTTTATATAACAGTAGAAGGAAATATGTTCTGATGACAGGATACATTTTTCTGTGTGAACAATCCATTAAAGATGTTTAGATTTTTTTTTTCATTTTACATTATATTTGACAAAAATCTTATATTTGCCTGTGTTTCTCTGGTTTCGAATTTTTTTCAAATTCACTAAATATGGTTGGCTCCTAAGAGTTTGCTTCAAAATAACCCTTTTAAGTCTTGTATAAACTTCAGCATCTGTCTGTGCATTCGGTCTTTCTGTGTGCAGTGAGCATTAAAGGACATCTATCTGTCTGAAATGTGCCAACATGACGACTGTTCCTGTCTCAGGGCCTCTCGTGGATGTCATATAACGTTGTTAAAGGAAAAAATAAGCAGAAAACACCTTTTTTTACCCTCTCCGCTAGAATGCAGCGTCCTTAAAATACACTGGTTTATGTCAAACCGTGCCTCTTTAGGGCTCCAGGTCTGAATACAGCTCTAGATGTTAGTGTGGAGTGGTGAATGTTGAAATTTCTCCCTGCGAGCAGACACTTCATAGAAAATCAATTTCGCAGGTTAGGACACTATTACCACTGGGTCCAAAAGCATTTTTTCTATAAACATAATAGTACAAGTGAATTCACTCACTAGAGAGGAAAAAAAAGATAGTTTGCAAAAGATGGCATTTTTATTATAAAATTTATTGTGTTAACATGGCGGCACAGTGTCTCAATGGTTATCGCTGTCACCTCACAACAAGAAGGTCACTGATTCGAGCCTTGGCTGGGTCAGTTGGCGTGTCTGTGTGGAGTTTGCATGTTCTCACCATGTTGGAGTGGGTTTGATCCAAGTGCTCTGGTTTCCCCCACAGTTCAAAGACATGCGGTATAGGTGAATTGGTCGTAGTGTATGAGAGTGCATGGGTGTTTCCCAGTGTTGGGTTGCGGCTGGAAGGGCATCCGCTGAGTAAAAAACATGTTGGATAAGTTGGCGGTTCATACCGCTGTGGCGGCCCATGATTATTAAAGGGACTATGCAGAAAAGAAAACGAATAATTTGGCTGTAGTGTATGCGTGTGAATGTGAGAGTGTATGGGTGTTTCCAAGTGCTAGGTTGCAGCTGAAAGGGCATCCGCTGCATAAAACATGCTGGATAAGTTGCCAGTTCATTTCGCTGTGGTGACCCCTGATAAATAATGAGACTAAGGTGAAGGAAAATGAATGAATGAATTGTGTTAACACAGAGACCTCTAGTTTTGTTGTCATCTGCAATTTTAGCCTGAATGTGACTCTTTATGTAAGAGTCTAATTATAGATAGGAGTCTTTCCAAAAACACAACATAAACATCTGTTTCTCTTCTTGGCACTTTGCCTGTTTCTCTCTCTCTCCCTCTCCCTCTTGCTCCCTCCATCACTCTTCCAGTACTTAAATGGTTTGTTTATTGTTACTTCCTCTGTGTTTTCTAGGCAATTCAAACAGGACCCAATGTTTATCCCATAGATCTACTGGACATCATACCCCAGTGACAACATCATTTCCCACTGACCCCAAGAGACTCTTCCTTCTGTGTAGGCGAAAATCTCCAGTTAAGGAGAACTAGAGCTACATCATCTGTGGTTTTCCCATCTGAGATGAACATTTGAAGAAAAGCCAAAGGAAGTGTACAAAAGGCTGACCAGCAGGATTAGTATTACAGCTTTTTTGCTTCTAAACCCAAAGAAGAATCCAATGGCGACATCAAATGTGGACTGATTGTACTCAGTCAGAGCTCCCAGCGGCAGCACTTTGGCTCCAGATGAAACTGATGTTTTTCTGCATAATTCTTAGTCAGTCTGGAGCCGTTACCCCTCCTGCTCTGTGTGTCGTAGCATGTGGCTCGGACTCAACATCCACAGCATCTTAATTACACAGCCAAGCCGATTTAGACCACACAGGAAACATCTCTACATCTGGAGATACACTGCCTTTTAGAGAGAGATACACATCACTGGAGACTCCTGATCTGCTTTTTGTCCTCTATACCTATGCGATTACACAAAAGAAACCTAAAAGAGAAAAGAAGCCTAGTAAGTTTTTTGTGTGTATTCTGTCTGACTCTGTAACCTTTCAGTGCTTCTCTTTCTTTCTCACTCCCTCATGGCACCATTAATGAAGCCTTTAACTAATGATGCACAGGTCCAAATTAGCCTGGTTCAGTGACTATACAGGGCTGTCGGTCCCCGCAGACGTGCTGACCTTTGGAGAGGGCCCCGACTACTGCTCTGTGGCCCAGCATATTCACACACACACACAAACACACATCTACCCTTGAGCTACTGGCAGTAAATAGTGAATGGTAAATGTCACCGCTTTGGCCATTGAATTATATGTTTTTGGAATAAGTGTAAGAGTGGATTACATTAGCTTCACTAGCAGCTCGCCTATGTCCACATGTCAGCCTTCAGCAAGCTGGAAGTTTTATTTTTATGTGGTGTCTATGTGGTGCAGTTTGTTCGTTTTGAACATGTTTCTGGAATTCAGGTTCTGTTTCCAGCTGGTATTAAAATGCTTTTTTAGAGTGGTCATTTTAATTGGTCAGCTGAGACACTACTTTTTTTTTTTTTTCACCAGATATTAACGTGTATTTAAATGAGTTTTCTGTGACCACTGGTTGTTGATTTAGCTTGTATCATATCTATCTTAGATTTTTGTATCATAGGTTTCTGATGTAAATTTAGTGCAGTTGAGCACAGTATAATTATCTTGATTTGCAGCAGTTTCTCAAAACACCTCCCATAAAAATCATACATTTGGATTAGTTCTGTAACTAATTAAGGCTTTAGCAGAGGTGCGAATCCAGATGCAGATTTATTTACCAGGATCATAAATCAGGCAAGGGTCAACAACAGGAGCAATCGGGTTCAGATAGATAATCCAGAAGTCATCGTCGATAAACAGATAAGTAGTCAAAACTAGGAACATGGCTAGAAGTAGATAACATAAAACTAGGGATGGCTGACTTGAAACTGACGTTTCGACACAGTGTCGAGATCGCGTTTTTGGCACTGCACGGAAGCATGATCTGAAACTTTTAGGTCACATGACTAGGGTGATTCGAAACACACAGGTCACGTGACAAGTGTTTTGAAACACCTGGTCACGTGACTAATGCGATTCAAAGCATTGGTCATTTCAGAAGCATTCCGAGACCTGGCGAATCTGCATTTGACTGACAGGGTCAGAATAAAACTCTGTCTTATATAGCTTAGTAAACTGTGCGTGTGCACATAGCTGGCGTGTGCTGCAAATAGCTTTTGGGTTTGAATCCCGACAAATACTCTGAAATAATGATTTTATGTATTTTAGTAATGTTACTGTTTTATACGTTTTGAAGCTTCGACACGTTTGCTTCGACTATTTCATGAAACCTCACATTGCCCACCACTACATAAAAAAACAAGAATCAAAGAACACGGCTAGACAAGGAAATGAAAATGCAAGGTAAAGTTACAGGTTAGCTTTAACTACCAAAATAAAAAAACAATGCTCAGCAATGTGTGTGAGCAAATGTGGTGGATAAATAGTGTAATGAGTCCTTGAGCAGCTTCAGTTGTAAGTGTTTGCAATCAGACAAAATTAGGAACTGGTGTGTGCATGGTGCATGGTGTGATTTGTAGTCCATTTGGAGTTGTAGTTCTCCAGCGATCCGTAGTAGCTTGATCACTGATGACTGTAACGAGTAGGAAAGTAGGTAGTGTTTTGTGGCTGTTAAAACACTGTTCGACTTTCTGTTTAAGTTTTGCTAAAGCAATCTATGTTTTGACTCCCCTTTGAAGTTTTCAGAAGTGGACATATTTAAAGTGTTTTAGACCCTGTTTGCACCAATATTTAGTCTTGTCCAGCTATGAACAGATCAGCATAACGCATCTTAATATTAGGAAAAAACGGAGCCCTGAAAGCATAACTCTGATTTGACAGACCCAAGTTTTTTCAAATTAAAAATAAAAGAAAACCTGTGATAGAATATAGATAATGCGATAGATAAATCGTTTGCCTTCAGAAATGTATTATTTTAATGAAGTTCTTTTGTAAGAGGCACCCTAACATTTTTTATGCCTCCAACAAATTAACATGAATTTTAACATTATTTAAATATATTATTTAGATTGTATGCATAAATTGCATGTTTGTCTATTTTTGAGTTTGTGTATTATAAAATTTCAATGTATAGTGTATTTTTTTTGCCGAGTTACATACAGTCCTCAGAATAGAGTTCATCCCATTTTGAATTTTTTTTTCTATTTCTCAGTAAATATAGGCAATGTATTTTGATGCATTTAAACAAAACAGATTTATAAAACAGATATTTTTATTAAAATAATATTTTAGTCACCGAACATATTTAGAAATTGAATGATAATACAATTAAACTCAAGCTAAATATCACATAAAACATTGACAACAAAATTTCAACAAAATGGTTACATTTTTTTGGTTCTCTTTATTTTTCCTGTTTTAAAAATTGTATTTAATAATTTTCTATAACATATAAATTTGGGGGTACTAGTTATTGGACCGTTATCTTAAGTTATTTTGTTAGATAAGCTCCAGATTTGGCTTTAGTACTGACTAATCTAATGTGTATACACAAATATGATATTGTATAGCTCCTATTAAAAATATTTGTGAGGGGTGTACTTACATACGCTGAGCACTGTATACCAAGTATTTGAATTCCTTTTGATTGTTTTGTCTTCTGTCCTGTGCTTGCTCTGTTACTGTTTCTCTTTTCCTCTTCCTCCACAGCACCAGACATGAGGGTCACAACAGCACATTTGGCAGGACTACAAAAAGCCATTCCACGTGGATAAATTAGAGTCGGAGTTACACTTTTTTTTTGTGGAAAATTTACAACAACACGACTTGCAGGAAACGACTAAAAGACTTAAAAGGGCCTGATGCACCTTTTAAGGGCAGCAACAAAAATGAATAAATCATCAAGAGGGAGCGAGGGCTAGTTCTTCTCAGAGAGCAGTGAAGGAAACGCTCTCCTCCCCCTGCTGCGAATGAGAGCTTGAACTGAGCTCTCTGGAAGACTGACAGTCTCTCCTGCTCTCTAGCCTGGTGGTTTGTTGATGGATTTGCCTTGATTTTTGGTGTTTCTCAGCCCTCCCTCTACGTGCCCGTGTCATGCTCTGTTGCCGGCGAGCCGTCCAGGAGCCATGCCCATCCCTGAGATGGCTTTGAGCCCGGTAAAGTCTCTGTACTGGGAGGTGTTTCCCTCCATGGTCACGCAGCGGGTGTACTGTACGCCCGTCCTCTGGGCTGGACGCCTCTATGTGCTGGGCGGCTGCAGTGAGAACGGCCTCCCTTTGGACTCCGCCGAGGTGCTGGATCTAGAGAGCCAGCGTTGGTGCGAGCTACCTCCGCTGCCCACAGCTCGTGCTGGGGCATCTGCTGTAGCTGTCGGGGACCAGTTGATGGTTATGGGGGGTATGGATGCGCAGCAGAGCCCGCTGGCCTCAGTGGAAGTCTACCACCCTGATGAGGGCAAGTGGGAGAGGAAGACAGGACTGGGTCAGCCTTCCATGGGCATCACCACACTGGAGAAAGGTATGAGCAGCAATTCCTCTTCATTCATGAAAGTGCTTTCAGTCAGAATTTGATATGAAATTTGCACTATGTTTTTTTTTTCAGTTTAGAGGTTAACACGAATGAAAATATAAGATTTTTAAAAGGAGGCATGGCACCATACCCCACCCCTAAACCCAGTCATCAATGGGAGATGAGCAAATTTTAATAAAATGTACAAATGAGATCATACAAATTAGCCACTAAATCAAAAAGTTATGAAGTGTTATCTCACAAACAATACAAAATGGCACAAAACACATCAAGTTAAATGTGAACCTCTGAAGTTGAACAACTTACTGGTGTTTTAGAAGTGTTGTTTTCTTTCATAAAATGGTTTGTTATAGTACTTGTAACCACTCTTTACCAAATTTTAAATATTGTAAAATATTATTGCAATGAAAACTTTATATTGCGATATTTTATTTTTCTGCAATAAATATCGTGATGAATATGAATACGGTTTCACAAGATGGTTATATAGCTCTATTTGACAGTTTTCTGGGAAGTCTAAGAGTATTCGGGTACAAAATTTAAGTGAAGTTTTTAAACTAATTTCGAGAGGAGCACGTGATATAATTGACTGCAGCTGGCCACCTATCTACACTCATTAGTTAGCCAATCAGATCTATCCTAACTCACTATAAGTAGCCTAGCTAGATATTACTCCCTTATCTTCGTTTTCCGAAGAAACCCCCCATCCACCCCTTTCTCCTCCTTTTCTCCTTTACAAAAAGAGGAGTTCTCGAGAACCACCTGATCTCGTACTCCCGTCACATGCTCTATGGACCTGGCGGGAGCCCTGGGCTCAACTATCTCCGAGCTCAGGGTTCTCTCCCGGGACAGCATGCCAAACCTGCTTACAGTTGTCAAGCAATATCTAAGTGTGAACTCTTGAAATTACCATAAAGCAAAAAAAAATTCTTCTTTCTTTGCTTTATCTTGTTTCTAGTCCAAATATAAAAAAATTCTTAGATCACGTAAAAATACTCAAAAATGATCAAAATTAATAGTTTTTCCTTAAAACAAAAAAATTTTTGGCAATGTGGTAAGTAGAATAGTCTTGTTTTTGCTTCGAAATGTACATATTCGGACAAGAAACAAGCCAAAAAACTCACAAAATTTCACAAATTGTATTAATTCTGCATTGTAGTAAATCTGCATAAGTATTTGCATAAGTAATCTGCATTTTACACCTCCAAACATCATAATTCTTTTGTGCCCAAATGTTCTAAACTCACGGGCCTTAAAACACATGCCAATTATAAACCTTCACTCTATTATGGTTAAAGTTAGTTGTGACTCTACATATCACATGTGTTCTGTAGCTGCTGGTCAACTATAATTCAGACTGAACATTGCGTAACTTGCTATCTCAGTGCCGCATTTTACACTGTTGATCACAGCATACTTCTGGATAGGCTGGAAAACTGGGTTGGGCTGTCTGGGACAGTCCTCAAATGGTTCAGATCTTACCTTGAAGGGAGAGGTTACTATGTCAGTAGGTGACCATAGGTCAAGGTGGACACCCATGACATGTGGAGTCCCACATGCTCGATTCTGGCACCTCTCCTGTTCAACCTTTACATGCTCCCCCTGAGCCAAATAATGAGAAAGAACCAAATCTCCTACCACAGCTATGCTGATGACACTCAGATTTACCTAGCCTTACTGCCTAATGATTACAGCCCCATTGACACCTTCTGCCAGTGCATTGATGAAATTAACAATTGGATGTACCAAAATTTTCTTCAGTTAAACAAAGAGAAAACTGAAGTCATAGCATTTGGGAAAAGAGATGAGGTTCTCAAGGTAAATGCGTAACTTGGCTTTAAGGGTCAAACAACAAAACATAAGGTCAAGAATCTTGGTGTGACTCTGGAGTCAGATCTGAGTTTCAACAGTCATGTCAAAGCAGTTAGTAAATCAGCATACTATCATCTCAAAAATATTGCAAGAATCAGATGCTTTGTTTTTCAGTGAAAACTTAGAGAAACTTGTTCATGCTTTTATCAGCAGCAGGGTGGATTACTGTAACGGCCTCTTCACTGGTCTTCCCAAAAAGACAGTTAGACAGTTGCATCTCATCCAGAATGCTGCGGCCAGGATTCTGACCAGAACCAGGAAATCAGAGCACATCACACCTGTCCTCAGGTCTCTACACTGGCTCCCAGTTACATTCAGAATAGATTTTAAAGTATTATTACTGGTCTATAAATCACTAAATGGCCTAGGACCTCAATACATTACAGATATGCTCACTGAATACAAACCTAACAGATCACTCAGATCTTTAGGATCATATAAACTAGAAATTCCAAGAGTTCAGTCTAAGCAGGGTGAATCCGCCTTCAGCCACTATGCCCCTCGCTGCTGGAATCAGCTTCCAGAAATGATCAGATGTGCACCAACATTAGGCATGTTCAAATCAAGACTGAAAACACATCTGTTTAACTGTGCCTTTACTGAATGAGCACTGTGCTGCGTCCGACAGATTGCGCTATTATGTTTTTTGTTTTCTTTTTCATTCTTTTACAACCTATTTTAACACATTTTAAATTGTTTTTATCTGTTTTTAATCATTTTTATTGTCTGCATTTTATGTCCTAAACTTATCTTTTTTATTCCTGTTTATGTAAAGCACTTTGAATTGCCACTGTGTATGAAATGTGCTATATAAATAAACTTGCCTTGCCTTGCCTATGTAACTATTGGAGATGTGCATATTGCGATAATAATGCTAAAATTATATGTTGTGCAGCCCTACTGACTAATCATTTGCATTTAGTCATTTCGAAGACATTTCTATCCAAAGCAACTCATACCATACTTTTTGTCCTTATTACACTGCAAAAAAATAACAAATAAATGAGCAGTTTTTATCAGTCAACAGAAAAGTCAAAAATACTTAAAGCTTAACATTATGGGTTATTTCCAGAGAAAATGCCCTTAATTATGCCCTTTATTATTTTATTTCTCAGCCTGTTGTCAAATTAGGCTTGAACTTCACTAAATGTTGTTATTGTTTATGTCTGCTTTGACAATGGGGTAAGAAAAATGAACTTAATTAAGCACATATTCTCAGAAAACAAGTCTTCATATTTTATGCAGTCCTGCTTCTGAGGTCAATGACACGCAAGAGTGTTTATGGAAAAAAGGTATTTCTTTCCAAAAAAAGTTTAATGATCAATAAAAAGTTGTTTTGTTTTTTTTTGCACAATGAACGTAACTTGAATACATTCATATTTTGCATATCTATTTAAAAAAAGAAAAGAAAACCATGATAGGGAGGTAATATTATTTTTTAACTGATAAATATTCACCACCTGACAAAAGTCTTGTCGCCTATCCAGGTTTTAGGAACAAGAAATAATAACTTGACTTCTAGTTGATTACGTTTATTTTACCAAAATAAAATTTGATCATGCCTTGATTTTTAAGGACAGTAAGGTCTGACTTTGCTGAGACAAAAGTCTTGTCACTTAAAAGAAATAATGTACAGTAACGAATATAAAGTCATGGTGCAGTGGAAAGAGAATTAATATTGTGTATGACTCTCATGAGCTTGGACGACTGCTTCCATACATCTCTGCAATGATTCAAATAACTCATTAATAAAGTCATCTGAAAGGGCAAAGAAAGCGTTCCTGCAGGACTCCCAAAGTTCATCAAGATTCTTTGGATTCATCTTCAATGCCTCCTCCTTAATCTTACTCTAGACATGCTCCATAATGTTCATATCTGGTGACTGGGCTGGCCAATCCTGAAGCACCTTGACCTTCTTTGCTTTCAGGAACTTTAATGTGGAGGCTGAAGTATGAGAAGAAGCGCTATCCTGCTGAAGAATTTGCCCTCTCATGTGGTTTGTAATGTAATGGGCAGCACACATGTTTTAACACCTCAGGCTGTTGATGGTGCCATCTACTAAGCAGATCTTTTGAACACCCCCATACTGAACGTAACCCTAAACCATGATTTTATTTTTACCAAACTTGACTGATTTCTGTGAGAATTTTGGGTCCATGCAAGTTCCAGTTGGTCTTCTGCAGTCTTTGTGATGATTGGGATGCAGTTTACCAGATGATTAATAGGTAAAATCTACCTTCCGACACTTTTCTAAATGATCAGCTCGAAGTCAAGTTATCATTTTTTATCTTACAACTGGAATCGACAACAAGACTTTTGTCAGGTAGTATATGAATTTATAGTCATAGTCATAGTCTAGATGAGATACTGTAGACATTCTTATCATATAAAAGGTTAAACAAGTCATTCTTAGTGTTTTTCCAGCACATATAAAAGGTTAAACAAGTCATTCTTAGTGTTTTTCCAGCAAGGTCTTACAAGGAAGCGTAACATGTTTTCACATATTGTCAGAAAAGTGGATAATTTGTATGAATTTAAAATTATTATAAATCATACACTAAATGAAAATGTTACAAATTGTCATGAGACTTTGGTTTTTCATGTATTTTTCATGACTTTGGTTTTTCATGTATTTTTCATGACTTTGGTTTTTCATGTATTTTATAATAAATCAACAAATTAAAAATGCAAAAAATAGTATCATGTCATTGAATTAGCAAATAGATTTTCTGGATGTTTTGATGTTTTTTCTTATAGAAAGACGATGGTATATCTTACCCTCATCACTGTCTTGTCATTTTAGTGAATAAATTGTTCTGTTGTAGATTCTCTGACAAAACTGTCATTGTTTGATTGTCAATCATCAGTGAGCAGATTCAGTAGAAAGACATCAGACTGTAATTGGGGGAAAGCAAAGTTTGGTCCCTGTCTCGTCTTCTGCTGCCTGCCGTCAGAGCGCGATTAGCCGTATAATCTGGGATGCTGTTATCTTTGCTACAATCACTGCGGTTGTAATGAATGTCTCTCTGGAGTGCTCCGGATATACCAGCTCTAAATCAAGGCATCAGTCATGCATTACTGTGACACAGAGAATTACACTGAAGAGAAAGGTCTCGTTCTCCTCTCTAGTCTGTGTTCAGGTGACGGTTGATCCAGTGTTTATTCACAGGGATTCACTTCTGCTTAGCCGCATTCCCACCGGCTGAGCCGCATTCTGGTCGGGTCTGATCACTTCTGCA